GGGCAGTGAGTTGCCTTAAACACCGGTGCATGGGGTTTTAAAGTGGCTGCTGTTGTGTGTATTGCACCATGAAATATTACAGCAGATCACCTGGGTGCCAAGTGTTTCAGCAAGGCTTTAAATATCTTTAAGGGGATTTTTTTAAAGGACGGTGGTTCTTTATTGAGGAAACACCTGTGATCCACATTTTACTGATAGGATGCTGTTTGCAGAGAGTTTGGGCAATAAAGTGCCTAACTTGATTCCTGCAAGCCTTAGTCATGTGCCATAACTCCTGTTCAGCCTTCCTTGGGGGCCATGTAGAAGAACACAGGTGATCCTTAAAGACAGATTGCAGGGTGATGAATAACTGGTGTATCCAAACAGAAAACTACCCAGATAAATGAGGTGGGAGGAATGTGACAATTTTTGTGTAGTGTCATGGAATGCTGCTTTTAACGTTTTCGATAGATCTTCTCCATGAATGTGGTGCAGTGGGCCAGACCCGTGGCTCTGTCCCTCCTTGGAGGGAAACTCGAGAGAGTCAGACATGAGGGTCCTCATGGGTAAATCACAGGGGAGGCTGCACTCTGAGCTGGTCCTCAGGGCTGGAGAAACCTTTCCAATTAATTCCCTGATACTAAGCCTGGGCTATATGCTGGAGAGATCTAAATTTGGTGGCAGTCTGCTTTTCCTTGGATAGATACCCAGGCAGGAAGGTGTATCCAAGCTGGACTGGACAGTGGCACACAGTTGGAGCAGTGCATGTAGGTGGGTCTAGGTGTCCTTGCCTTTGGCACACAGCAGTGCTCTCATGTCTTCTGGAAGGTTATCAGCAGTCACATCTCTGTCTGTCTTCCTGGTTTCTTGAGACTTGTCTCCTACACAATAATTTTTTTTCAAGTTGAATTAGTCAAATGGTTGGTTCTCAGCACAGAGCTTTTCTGCACACTCTGATTATTTACCAGTTGTGACAGCTTTGTAGTGTTTTGTCCTGGAGTCTGAGCAGATGCATTGTGTTGACTTCCTGAATCCAATTTGTAACAATAATGTTTTTCTCTTACTGTGTTTCTGGAACCAATTTGACTACTTTCCCTTCCCCATCTCTTTCTACCAAGGCACCCCAGAGGGTGTCCTGCCCTGCACGCTACCAATTGTCTTCTGTTTGCCTACTTATGCTGCCTGAATTCCCATGTTTTGGGAATAGATTTGTGTGAGATGACTACAGGCACTAAAAGTCATTTATGAGATAGACTAGTGAGAATCTTGGGCAGCTTTTCCACAGGAGACTCATGGTAAAAAAACGAAAGCCCAAATGTAAAATTTCCTAAGCTGCTTGATTTATTTGATTCACTTCCTCTGTCTCTTCAATTTCAAAGCCACTTGGGAAGATCATTTGCACAAACATTTAAGTTCTCTTTAACTAAAGTCAACCAATATGTATTTTTCAATGAGCTGGAGCTCATAAGAAAGATTCAAACATTAAATGTGTAAAGAAGGCAATTAGTGTTTGTACAATATATTGAAAACTAGCCTAAGGCACACTGGAAAAATACATGTTTTACACATGTATATTTTTCATTCAATTCCATAGTTTATATTAGATCCTGACATAGATAATGTAGAGGCTACCAAATTAAGTCAAACAGTGGAAGAGGTTGTGATTGTCTATAAAAAGAGGTTTTTTAACTGTAACGTAGTTGGTCTTACTCTGTATATTTAATCACTCAAAGGAAAAGCCTTTTCTCCTGCTGTACTATGTCAAGGAAGATTATCTGCATGTAAACAGCAAAATGAGACCTCTCTTGTGTTGCAAAGGTTGAATTTCTGTGGTTTAAAAGTTGAGCATTTCTAAAAATGTACTAATGATGTCATCCTGATAAAAGGAGATACCCCTCTCACTTTGTCATGGAGTGATACTTTCCATAGGTTTTAAAGCTGTCGGTGGAGTAGGAAAAAGCTGTCATAGGAATCAGTGGAAAAGTTTTATTTTAATAACTGTTGGGGAATCCAGTTACAGAGAGCAACTGTCATGTTATCTGCATTAAAGATTGTGCATCCATTATCCGGAGTGTTTTGACCACAGTTTGATAGGAATTCAGGTCAAGAGAAGGATAATTTTCTTAAATGGGGAGAAACAGGAGTTGATACAACCATGGATATAGTACCAGTTAGAAACTTGGGAATATTTTCTGAAAATACAAGTATAGCCATTGTCTATTAAGGAAAATACTATTTTTTCTTACTGTACTAATTTAGGATTTGATTCTAATTGGACAGAGCACAAAGCAAAAGAAATTCTGAGATTCCAGTGCTGTAATGGGCACAAATGTACTTTCTGCAGTTGATTATGTTAAAAGTATTTGTTGTTTATATGAATTACTGTGGTGTATATAGAGCAGAACCTTTCAGGAAGACAAACTAAAACTTTTGTTTGTTTCTACAAGAGAATTCACTGGATTGAAAGTCCATATGGGATCTTGGATGCAGGAGTACAACGACTTGCCTTAACATGTAGAAGAGAGCATATGGTTTTGGTAATAGGTTAATAAGAGCAATTAACCTTATAGTGCACTCATTTGCTGGTCTCAGTTGTTTATAAACTAGGTAATAAAAATATTTTAACATCCTATAGCTTTATGGGAGATTAGTGAAATCAGGCTGTGTTTTTGAACTTTAAATGCCAACACTACTCAGGTGATAGTGTAAGTGATAGAAACATAAAATTAGCAGAGAATAAAAGATGCAGAGTACTCTGTGGTGTGTCTAACCAAGGGATATTGCAAATGTCTAAATACATAGAATACTGTGGAGAAATACAAACATGTGTTAAAGGTTTTCATTAGAAGAGGGACTGTTTTCAGAGGATGCAGTCACAGATCTGTCATTCAGCTTGTTCTTGTCACCTTGCAAAGACTATCATGTAAAGTGTTCCCAGGCTTAATTAACATAAAAAAAGAATTCTAAACTTACCTTCTTCTTCTTGAGGATGAACCTCATAATGGAAAAGGTTAAAAGAACAGCGAGCACTGTCGTTTTCTTTGGGTTTTTGTTTGTTTTGAAGGACTTCTAGAAGTTCAGTCACTTCCTGCAGAAGTCCCAGTTTCTCAGTCAGGAGCTGCTGCGTTTGCCTGGCAAACAGAGAAAGTGGGAACAAATGAGCAGGTTGTTGTTTGCCCCACAAATTGCACCTGCAAGAAAAGCCCTTTTTATTTCATCCTCTGTGGCCCCTCACATTACAGGTGGTGTCATTTTGACAGTGGTTTTTGTCCACTTGGGCACCTTGCTGTAAAGGCAAAGTGACACCAAGGGTTGAATGATCTTTGGGTTCTAGGCTGGTGGTGATGGGAGAAGGATGGTTTCCCTATAATAATAATAATTTCTTTTCCATTATGTAAGTTTTGTCAGTCAGCTTTTTGGTCTCCTGCTTTTGTGCAATATTTGTTTTGGAAAATTCTGCCTGTTTATCGACAGTGTTCCAAAAGATACCTCTAAATCAGCTCATTTTTAGATTTTATTTGAGCATGTAAAAGATGATATATTGTAATTATTTGTCTGTCCTGGTTTACTGTTATTTGTCTGGTTTTTACCTTATATGTTGGCAACAGACTATTGTATTAAGCTTAGTTGGTGATAACCTTAATGAGCTGTTGCTGCTTTTTCTTTATCCTGAATTTGAACATCAAGACAGTATTTTTTTTCTTTAAGTTTTCTTCAGAGGCTTCCATGGAACCTTTCTGTGCAAATTTGTGGTCTCATTTTTTTCTCTTTCATTGAATTGACTGAACAATGTACTAGCTGGTGCAGCATTCAGCAAAGATGAGGACTCTTTTGCTTTATTAGACTTCACAGTGTTTAAACAATACTAATTCTCATACCCAGCTGGCTTTTCAATTGATTTCTGTGCTCTCTATTGCTGTGTAAAACAAACTGGAACATTAATGGCATCTTGCATGCTACCCTCTGGAGACTTATTTTTCTTTAGAGAAAAAATCAATTAAGTGTGAAAGTTTCTGGGTTTCTCCTTGTATGTTTTATTCTTTCATTTTAAATTCTATTTTAGTGTGCTGTCAGATTTTGTACATGTTAAGATGCTAATTTTCAAGCATGTAATTTTAAAAGAAGTCTTCATTTTATGGTGGGATTTTCTGGTTTGCTCATTTGTTTATAGAAATAAATGTCTCTTTCTTCTTCTAAAACAGAATATACCAGCTTGAAAAATATGTTCAAGATGTATGTAAATGTGCTATTTTAGCCCAGCTAAAATTTTGCATATTTAAAATGTGTTTGCTAAACAGCCAAAGAACATTTGCAGATGTTAGCCATTTGTTTTGTCCCCTTGCTTTGAACAGTATTGAAGTATTCCTTGTGAGAGAAACCATTTTTCTCTCCTGTAAACATAAATATTTAAGTCACCCCTTTAGGCAAACCCAAGCCTTAAATATATGCTCCTCAAGAATGAATTGTCTGCTCTGAAACATCCATCTGTGATGGGCTCCAGCCATTGCTGAGGTGACCATTGTAGCTCAGGTTTCTCCTTCCAGTCCTTCAGAGGCTGCTTAATTTTTTATAAATTTCAGTTCATTGTGAAATATCAACTTTCTGAAACCAAAATTTGATTCTTTGTCCACTCCACCTCCCCAAATAATCAGGTAGCCCTGCAACTGAGATAAGGATTTGGGGTGCTCAGTTGTTGTTGTGGGTCAAATGAGGGCAGTGGCCTCTCATAAAGGACTGGCCAAAGCTGGGGAGTGGGGCTTGGTATTTAACATCAAGGAATGAGTGCTTTCTGAGGAAAACTTATAACATTCTTGGCTGTGATATCTTCCTAAACCTTTCACTGTTTGCACAGAAGCCAGGTGGCCTTGTACAAAATGTGTGCCAGTATCCGTGCCACAAAACTCCTTGCAGTGCATACCAAGTCACTTGGAAGCATTGTAGGGAATATTTTCTGAATAAAGAATGTTTTGCTATCACAATATTTCATTCATGCAAATTTTTTTTTTTCTAATTTTCTGCAGCTGGTCTGAAAACCCAGGAGAATGGAAGTTTCAAAAGGCAAGACAAACGTGGCTTCTCCTGCACATGTATGATAAAGAGAAGGTTTGTATTAATGCTGCTTTTCTTGAGAACAAATATGATATAGTGTTATACATTAGTTATAGCTATTCTTTATTAACCAAAACTTGCTAGTACTAGCCATGCACTTGTCTAATAATTTTTTAATAATTTATAAATTTCTTTGTTTTTAACCAAGATGCTGAGTCATTTTAATTGCTTGTCATTGATATTTTTACTTTGTTGGTAATCATTCTCCTGTGTATGCTAGATTTTTATATTTGATGTATGTCAAGCATAAATAGGGCAGATTCATGTTTTATTTAAACCTAGAGTTTGCTGAGAATTTGAGTCATATCCTTAGTTTGAATTTCCTAATGTGGAACCCAATACTGTAAACCATGATTCTCATATTGCTTCAGATATCTTTGGCTCCATAGAAGATGTACAGTCTTATTGCCAAGATGTTAAAATAGCTTTCTCATTAAAATATAAGTGAAACCTGATGTTGATTGTGCAAAACATAAAGTATAACCAGAAGCTAGGATTGCATCCATACTGAAATCCATTCATTTCATAACTGAAAAAACAACATAAATTGAATTTCCAATAAGCCTGACCATCGTGGTATCGAGTGGGAGTTTCAGGTCATTTATTTTGTTGTGTAATAGAACAAACATCTGCCTATTTGCACAGTGCCTTATTTATTGATTCATTTCATTGACACTCAGTTAGGTTTTGCTGATGGTTTTGTGTGCACTTGAACATTTATTCATACCAGTCTTCCTGACCCAAATTACTCAGTGGCTCTTAAGCCAATCACCTGACATAGGGTGTTACCTTTCCGGTTAAAAATACTTTTAGAGACCCAGATAATTAAAAGCAGATTTTCATGAAGGCAAAAATGTTCACAGGGTGTAAATACATTAGAAAAGATGAGTTGCAGAATACAAATTTGATGGTGGTCTCAAGGTTGTTTGCTCTGTCTTCAGTTTTTAAGTTTCCCCTTTAGAAACCTTTATCAACCTTCCAAAATCAACATATGCTCTTCAAAGCTACCTAGAAATTGTTTGGCAGGCAGAACAATGTTTTTACTTTTTGACCTGTTTACCTTGGGGTTTGCGTTGAATTACACTGGGACATAATGAACCTAAAGTAGCGTTTGTTTTATGTATCAAAACACAGCTTAACCCCTTATTTCTCAACACTGAAATGACACTTCCTTTTGCTTTTTAATCTGCTGAAAGTGCTGAGATTTATTTAAATTCACATATTTTGTGGTTTAATAATCAGAGAAGACTGAATATGAGCTTTAGAGAATGATGAACATCTGCATCCAGATTCAGTTAAGTTAGTAGAACTGTTCAAGTGCTTATAATTAAGCATATGATGAAGTCTCTTCCTTCATCAGGACCATAGGGAGGGCACACCCAGCTTCTTTTGAATATTTTTTATATCCAAATTCAACTTCCTGTCCATTGCAGAATAAAATCTGTCGGTAATCCAAGCATGACTAAAGTACAAAAAGAGACATAAGACATAAGTTTCTTTCCTTCCTAAGCCACATCTTTGATCTCATGGTGTCACTTGGATGCCTACTGAAAAGCCATGCAAAGCACTGAGTTGAGTTTCCTGCACTGCTATGCCTCTTGCTGTAAGAAATAATTTGAGATTTTCAAGTTGTTTGCTACATGAAGGGTTTTTTTTTAAGTCCCTTTAAAATCCATCTGGGGGTTGGCTGACAGCTCCCAAGCCGAGCCTGTGTACCTATGGTGTGTATACTTCTCCAGGATCCAGCATAAAACAAACACTGGGTCATTTGTTGATATTTGTCATCTGGCACAGCATTTTTAGGAAGTTATAGATCAGCTGTATTCAGCTTTGGGGCTGCAAGGCCTGGAGGTGAAGCTTCCTTGGAAGGTAACCCAAAAGGCAGCGTGGTGGCAGTGAGCTGAGGTCCTCTGTGCTGGGATCTGTGTTTGCTTTGCAAAATACGTGGGGATCTGCAAGTCTCTGAGTCTGAACACTTGCGAGTTGCATGGTTTAATTGTAAAGTGATAGCTGTTCTTTTCCTGCTGCTCTTTTGTAGTGTTTCCCTCCTTTTCCCGATGACAGGAATTATTTCACGTCGGGATATTTCCGTTTTAATCAGCTCCAGGTAGAACAGAGGCAAGATTAGTGTGTGTGAGAGAAAAAGAAACGAGGAAAGGGTCAAAACGGTTTAACAAATAATAATAATAAAATCCCATAAGCATCACTTCCACTTCCAGAGCTGTGGTGGGAGATCTTGATCTCCAATTTCAAACGAGTCCAAAACTTAGATCTTAGAAGAAGGATCGTGTTCCTTCTTGGAAAACCTCGCCAAGACCCCTGAAATTGCCGCTTTTGTAATACTGTATCTGAAGAATTAAAATTTGGATTTCGTTAAGTTTTTGCTGGCACTTTGTGTGTTCCAGTCCTTGCTATGGCTCTACTGTATAAGTCAGGAGGAAACATGACTTACCTTGCCTACAGGGTGCTGCATTGTGAGCTCCTGCTGAAATAAACCTCAGAACTGTGTTAAAGAAAAATAATCAGCCACATGTCAGCCTGTGCAGTTCGTATTTCTAAGTTTAGAGTAGGTTTTCAATTGCCCCTTCAAGCATTTTGCTTAAATGATATAATTATAACTGTAGTTCCACGGGTATGTCTATGCCATGAGGGCTGAGAACAAGAGTTGTAAATTACAGAGATAATTTAGCCAAGGTTTGAAACATGGAAATGTTGCTGAGCTTTAAAAGCTCAGTACTGAGTATCTGCATTAAAGGAGCACTGTCACACTGAAATTGTTTGCATCTGAATGGTTTGTCTGTTATTAGTACCAGCTTAGTGTGAGTAAAAACTTTCAAAAATTTAGACATTTTTCATTATGTTTAAACGTGTTTGATTTGTGTATTATAACAACACTTCATATATCATCCATTTCAGTGTTAGTCACTGTAAAATTAATATTTTTTGTAACTATGTTGTTTCTTTAATGCAAGAGTGTTTGTGTGAAGAATTAGAAGGTTCTCCATAGTGTACAAGTTATGAGGCTGAATGCAGACTTCAGTTTTGATTTATTGCTTTGTAATATGCCTGATTGATGAAGGCAGTGTTGGAATATTCTTTCTTCCTCTTCTTTTGGAGTGATAGAAGTTTTGGTGATCAAAGTTCTGCTGCCAAATGTCGATGGAGAAATAGGTTGTAAATTAAGTGTCTGTTGAAGCTCTGTCTTCTCTGAAATGTTGATACTTTGCAGAATTGAAACCGCCCTCAAATAATTAGTCTCCAGTCCTTTAAATACTTACGTATGTGTTTGACTTGACTCATGTCAAGTTATATGTGTAAAGTTAAACATGGAGAAAAATATTTGCAGGATGAGGTAATTTTAACATCCCCTGATTCACAGCAAAAGATATTCTCTTATTGGGTGAAACCTGTTCCACAGATACACAACATGAAGTCAAGATATGCTTCAAGATAAGTCTGTTCACCTATTATTTTGGTTTGAAATACTGAATAAATAATTCCAAAGTCTTTGCTAAGTTATTGCCAAGATTAAGGTAATGATCATTTAAACTGTATGTTCTACCAGATAAGCTAAAATTTAATCTATGACTGATTAATTAGAAAGGGAGGGAAACAGGGATAACACAACTGTAGATGACTGAAGTGCTTTTAATGTTGGACATGTTGGTTCAGCCTATCAGTTTTAGTCAGCGTGATTTCGAAATTATTTCCATATGTCTGAATTTCAATTTGTTTTTCAAATTAAGTTCTATTCCTTTGTATAAGGATTCTGTCAAAGTGCATGATGGTGGGTGGTATCTCAAGTCAGCAAACAAATAATTTTTGGGTAGGGACGAGGGTAATTCCGGCAAAATTCTTTCCTCAGGCACATTCATGCAATTCTCACCAAATTTAGCAAGATTCACATACATGTTTTCGAAAAGGAGGATTTGGCTGGTGTGTTTTGTTTTTTTCTTGCACCAACCCTCACAGCCTTGAGCTCCCTGTCAGGGAGTGTTTGCATTTGCTGCTCAGCATTTCCACATCTGCTTAGCATTTCCTCTCAGATGCTCTGCCCATCCGAGCACATGACAGTCGTCTCACCACGGTCCATCCCTCCTGGCAGCCTGTACCTTTCAAACATTTCCACTTGGAGTTGGGCATTGGCAAACACCAAAGCCTGTGCCCGTCTCCTGATTGTCTTTCAGGTGATGCTGTGACATGATTGCGGATGAGTATCGAGAGAGAAGAAAATAAATCAGATTTTTCCTTCCTTGTTTGTTTGTTTATTTGTTTTCTTTAAAGGTTCCAGACAAGTATTTCACCATTTTACTGGATTATCTGCAAGGCCTTCAGGGCGGGGCAAGAGACAAAACTGTGGAGAAAGCTGAAGCTTTTATGAAGGAATTTGATGGTTCTGATGGAGAAGACCCAAACGTGCTGGAGAAGTGTGAGCGCGTACGACAAGTTCTGCAACTGCTGTCCTGAGAGTATTTTTGTGTCTTAATGCTTGTCTGGTGGAGAGGAGGAGAGGATGTCATATACAGAGGCTATAAATGAGTTGTAAAGACGTCATTTTCTAAAAGTAATCCTAAGTTTTGTACTCATAATTTTTTGCAATTGCAAATATTTATCATGTTTTGAGGCGATGAAATAAAAATACCATGTATGGTCCATAGACTTCCTATTGATCTCACTGCACGTCTTTAACAAATAAACCTCTCTCCCTCTCATTAGTTTTTCTCCATCTGCCCCTGTAATTACTGTTAAATAAGAGGAACTTTACAGTGCTTAATAAGAAGAGCAAAGGAACCAACAAAAAGCCTGGAGGGTCTTTTACAATGGCAGCTTTTAAAATGAGTGTACAGTACAGTGCGTGCTCAGCCAGCTGTAATCTATCACTTTCAGCTTCAGAAGGATGTCACTTGGATTTGGGAAAGATCATTTTCAGTCTGTTGAACATGGACTGTATAACACAGTTGCTTATTAGTACTTCACACGGTGATCTGGAGATACCATCAGCTTTGTTAGTTTTCCTTTTATATTTTAAAGTTTTCAAACGCATTAGGGCAATTGTTTAGGTATTTAGGTAATGCACAGATGGGAACAGATCAAATCCCTGCTTATATGTGGTGAAATCATCAGATTGTACCTAAACTTACCCTACAATGAGAAGTGCTGTGCTGTATCTGGCCTGACAGTGTTACATTTTCATCTTTCTCTGGTAATTGGCATCCAAAAGAGTTAATTCCTCTTCGTTCATTTTGGTGTAGGACATTTGTCTCCTATGAACATGCTGAAAATGAGGCTTTCAAGTGAAAACCAAGGACATTAATTACTCAGAAGTTGGATGATTGGCTTATTTAATAACACTGGTATTCAGACAGAGTTCTTGACCTGATTCTTTAATGTTTCTGCAAACATTGTTCATACTTTACTAATAACAAGTATATGAAATGTGTAGTGTTTCAGAAGAGTGGCTGTCTTTGGGAATTGCAGCTTTAATTTGGATGGGTGAAGGAGGGGAGGATCTGGAGATATTCAGGCCTGATTTTTCAATAAGAAGCATTTGAGTGGATTTGACAGCCTTCACAGCCATGGATTAATACAAATCTTTAAAAGTACGAAATATATTACTAATAACAAATAACTTATGCTTTCTGACTTCTTGAAGACGATGTTTGCAGTCCAAAAATACTAGAGACCAGCATGCCCTGCTCTAGCACAGTAACTGGGGTGGAGTTTGGCACAGCTTGGAGTTGGGCAGAATTGAGCAGCAGTGTCCAGGTTCTCCAGGGAGCTGCTGATGGTTCCTCGGCAGCTCAGGTGCTGTGGCAGTACCACAGGGCAGCAGTTGGGTGAGGGCTGCAGAGGAGGCAGAGCCAAAGCCTTTCTGAGGCCCAAAGCTTCACAACACTGCTCTTCCAGTGTGAAAGCTGGTAAAAAGTATCTGCAGTAAAAAGAAGCGATCCTGACCTTTAGTGAACTCATAAAGATCATTGGATCAAGTATTTTGCATGCGAGAATATGCAGCTGGGAAAAGCTGCTGTCACTCCAAGCAGAAGCTGGTACTTTTTTCTTTCCGCTAGGAAAAATAGGAATTTCTCATGGATGAAGTTTTCAAAGTGTCCTTTTGTGAGTTTTTCATTGCACTTTATATGTCAGAGAAGAATTTTTGTTCTCTCTCAAGATATTTGAGCATTGCCACTTTTGATTTCTCTGTCACTCAAAACTGTGGGTCCTCGTTGTGCACTTAATGTACTTTGCAACTTAAAAGCACAAGCACATTGCAAATGCACTTTGGAATAGACTTGTAAAAGAAAAAAGATGATAAAGGTAAGATCTAGGCAAAAAAGTGTGAACCTTATATGATTTTGACAGCTTTGTCAAAATTTGCCTTTCTTGGACCTTGATTCTGACCATGTGCAAGTTCTGACAAATCTGTGAGAAGAGACGCTTTGTAGATCAAGAATGTCATGTTTCTTTTTATATCAGTTAATATTAAAAGCACACAAGACCTGCCAATCTGGAGTCCATGTGAACAGCAGTATTTGGAAAAGAACAGTTAGAGCCTCTCACTGGCACAGTAATAGACCTCTGGGAGTAAAGTCCTGCTCTGATCTCCACTTCCTCAACTGCTGTTTCAGCTCTCCCTTCACTCCTACCTATTGCTGGGTGAAGGACATGGTGTTTGACCTCTGCTTCTTGCAGTTATGGAAAACTCAGAAGCTACAAATGAAGGTAATTGTTGCTGTGGTTGTGTTTGGCAGAGAAAGCAAAGCATGAGCTTTCTGCCTCATTCCTCTTGGTGTAGGTGCTGTTCCAAGGACAGGGGGGTCTTGAAATTTGATAAAAGGTTTGTCAAACTTCTGCTTGGTGGTGTTGCACGTGTCTTGTGTTTCCAAGCTCAATATGAAAAAATCTAAGAGTTATCTTATACTTGATGCCGTAGTGGAAATAGGAAAGGATACTTTAATTGCATTTCACTTTTTTATTTTTCACCTTTTCTTAAGGAATCTTTCACTGGTTGGAAAAACAAGTCACCTTCAGAACAGCCATGAAGTGCAAAAGGACACACGTTTTTGGGAGACATGTATTTACTGAATTCCTGTAGTTGGTTGGGAAGATACAATCTGGCACTTTATTCACTGTGTTTTGTCATTTGGTCATGTAGAATTTTCAAATCTCTGCCTCACTTGTAGCTTAGGCAATCCTGTGGGTACAGATAGAACAAAATCACGTCTCTGCCTCTGTTTGAATCAGTCTGCTGTGTTAAGAAAAAATTGCATCCAAGGCTAGAAGTAACAGTGTGTGCAGAATGACAAATTACATCTCCATCTGCCTATGCTAATCGTCTTCTAGTTGAGTTAATCTGTATTGTGGAGCTCTGTTTAGCAGAATGAGTGTCCTAAGAGAATGCTGAAGTCAGGATTTCCAGGCAAAATAAAGGAACATTAATTACTTAGAATTGCTTAAAGCTGGAACTGTGCCTCTAATGGAAGTACTAATTACTCAGAATTTGACAGTGTAAAAAGTTCCCTTTGATTTGGCTGATCCTTGCTATGGGTTGTGTGTCTATTTGGTTCTTTGCTGTCTGCCCACAATTTTAATTTGTTATCACCATTGTAAAATAACTGGGTAAATGAATTCTCTGTTCCTATTTGGAAAGAGTGTCTCACAGTTGCTGAATGTGTAGTTTATTTCCTTATTTCCTCTCACTGGAGAATTGCTCTGCTGTGTTTCTCTTGATTTTAAAGCAAGGTGACTATTGACTCATCTCCCATCATTTCAAACAGCTTAGAAATTCACATCTTTGGGTTGAGCTTGGGGGTTTTGTTTTTGTTCTGTGGGGTTTTTTTAAACTTTGCCACTGAATAAGGCAAAATAACAAACATTAAAATCTAATCACATTTCTGCAAATCAGTGTCAGAAACAACAATCATAAAAAGAGATTTAAGTTGCAAAGTCAAGCACTCAGAAAATGAGAAAATGTAAGAATGGAAGTTGGTAGTGTAATTTAAATTTTACTCCTTCACACATATGTAGTATGAAGGAACTTCTCAATTATGTCATCAGGGCTGTGTTTTCCTTTGTGTGTAACTGATAAGTCATTTATTCAGTGTTTTCCTCACAGTTCTGCTGCTGTTCTTATTTTCAAAATTTAGGTCTATGAAGCAGTACCGAAGCCAGAGAAGTAACTTTGCTGTTGGGCTTTGATCCTGCACAGAAGAAATAAGTAGGAACTTTTCTATTCCTTTGGTGTAGGAACTAGTCATAGACATTTCATCACAAATGTTCCCTTTAAAACATGTTTTAATGTTCTGATTCATTTACAGTCAAAATATTGAATTGATGTTACTTAATTTAAATCCAGTTTTGTTGACATAAAACTTTCCAGTGGCTTATTCTGGTTTAGCCCTTGGTTTCCTTTTATGTCTTCCTTTCTGTACAGCTGAATGAGCTCGTTATTTCTGTCCCTGCAAATAGGAATATTAGTTGTTTACAGTGATTCCAGTCATACAAGGACACAATTAAATGTCCTTGCCTTTGCAGGACAAGCTCATTTTAGCAGTGATTTATAATTATATTCTATTTTCAATTCTTCACAAGAACATACTTAGTCAACAACTTAATGTGCTTTAAAATAGTAATTTTTTAAAAATATGGTTTTTTCCCCTACAAGGAGCAGGGAATAGCAAACTGAATGAAACTAATGAGTAAATGGTGGGGGAAGGGCAAAGCAAAACAGTGGTTTATCTTTCTTTGTCAAAACAAAGCTGAATAAGAAGCTTGTGCTAATAAGAAACTTTAACTGGTGTTACAGACACAGAGGGAGGGCCCTTTGGGTACAGAGGAACACTCATACAGCTGCTCTTACTCATTTTTTTTCCCCTACACGCAGAAAATTTTTGGCATTCCACAACAAAACCCACGAAAACACCTACGTCAAAAAGTTAAATAGGTTTCAAAATCAAATACTTAAAGGTCAACAAATGTCACATGTATATAAATGGCCAGAAGAATTAAAATTCTAACTCACTATGCCTCCTGCCTGGAGAGTGAATGAAGGGGGGGATTGTGTTAGAGGCAAACAAGCAAAAACCCCTAAACTATGTGAGCACATAGTTAAAATTACCAGTTACCCTTCTATTCATAGGAAGGTGGAGTTACATTCCCTATTAGTTTTCATTGTTCAGATTTTTTAATGAAGATTTGCTGCTAATTGAAATTTCACACAGCCTTTTGGTGTGACAACTTACATCTATTCTCCTCATGGTCCCACGTGTATTTTATGAAATTGTAAGCCACGGGACACAGGATCTGTCACTCTTATTTGCTTATAAATAGCCAGACCAGCTACAGCACTGTGAAAATCATCATTTGCTTCTGAGCTCCTTTGGACCCAATGAATGTTGGCGCTGTGTTTCCCTGTACTGGTGTAGAGGTACAACAGGCTTTGGCAGCATCCTTTGTATCAGCCAGGCTTGCTTAAGCTCCATGAAATTGCCCAAGTCTGGTCCAGTGATGCTGCTGATGGAAGCTGCCAAGTGAGCAGTGACGTGTGTCTGTGGAGCACTGGGAGCAGGGAGGCTGCAGGGTCTCAGCTGCTCAGGATGCTCAGCCCATGGCTTGCTGCTTGTTTTCAGTCTTGGGCTGCTGAGAGTTGTCACTATTTTGTTTGTCTGCTTTCTGTGGGCTTAACTGGACTAAAAGAACCGATGTTCTCAAACTAAATGTTCTAAAGCTATTTGGACATATTGAAAACTTAAGCTACAGTGATGGTGTTTGTCTGGTAGCATAGATACGTGTAAACAG